CTATATATATATATATATATATATATATATATATATAATAAATAAAATAATAAATAAAAAATCAAATTAAATAAATAAATCAAAATACATAATAATAGCATAATAAAAGTATTCGAAAAAAGTTAGATGGCTTTGAAACAAAAGAGAGGTGTGATAATAATTATTACCTAAAAACTGGTGAATTAAGTACATGAAGTAAATAAACGTTAAAATGAAGATTTTTCAATTTCCAAGGAGGCAAGTTTTAACTCATTTTTTGAAAGAATGTAAAATTTTTAGTCCATAAGACATCACGTCATTTTTTTCTTGTATTCATATCGTTTAGGGTTAAGTACGTTTCGAATAGGATGAAAAGTAGCGACTATCACTGCTTTTAGTTTTACAAATAATGGTGGGCAGACTCATTTGATTTTCCGAGCTGGTCGTTTTCATGTGTCAAATGGATGTTAAAGAGGATGGGCACACAACGTGCCTTTGTATGGATATGAGACGCCCAACCCATAGCGCATACCGATTCGGGTGAAAACGCCATGCCCCCAATAACCGGGTCGTCATAATGTTTCAATTCGAAACATCGTCCCGATGTTTTTCTACTTGTCGTCGAGATGAATGAGCATAAAAAATGGGATCGAGTGAATCGCCGTGTTGGCCGGCGTGGGAAATTGGGTTTAACTGTTCACAGTGGGCAAACACACCCGGAAGGTAATTAGCCGAATAGAGTTCTGGTAGAGCGCACTTCCGTCGTGACAGATGTGCCCGCTCTCGGACAACGCTCGTCCTCCCGTCCTTTTCCGACGGCCTTTCATTCATCAACTTAATTAATTCCCGGTTGCCCGGAAGGGATGGACATCGACCAGGTCCTATATCGCCTCCGGCACCGGCTTTAGCGGCTTACAGCTCGTCTCAAGTTGCCAAATAAGCAGATTTACGATATCAATTAGATAAGATGTCGTATTTAACTGAATCGATTTTTTTTATTCTTCTACTTTTTTACAACTGCATTCTTTGTTGAAAACATATAATTAGCAGTATATTCATATAAACAATAGCATGGAACAATGAACAGCAACGATCCAGCGATGGAAACCATTATTACATCAATATGATGAGTGAGGTAGACTCCATCCTAGGTGATGTTAAGTAGAGAATTTTCGATGAGCGACCGAGGCTTCAGTCTTCTGTTAGGATTGTCTGGTGGATGATAAGTTTTTGACGAAAAAGTTCATAAGATGGAATAGTTTGGAATGGAACCTTTTGCAGCGGGATCGAGCTAGTTGAGTAACAGAGGAACATGGTCGGTATGGATGGTTTGCTGGACTGACCGTGAAAAAATTCGTACCTGTAGGTCCATGCATGGCGGGCAAATCCTATATGAGCTTTGGCTTCTGAGTCCTCCAATAATTTAATTAGGTTTTCTTTGACAAGGGTAAAACTCCCAAGGTTTGTTTTTTAATTTCATTCAAGATTTCAGCAAAAAATGGAGAACATTCTCAACAACAAGTGTTGCACAGCGTACATCAACCCGTTACCACCTCAGAAGAGATTCAGAAAATACGGATACAAGACTTCATCTGCATTAAAACAGCCAAGAAGATCCTTCAACGACAATCCCTCAAAATTATCTTAGCTTAAATTAAACATACTTCTATTTAAAAAGAGCTCACTGCACATTAATTGAATAAATTTGGTCAATTATAAACGTTCGCACTGGTGTTGGCTGGACAACCTCAGAAAAACTAGGCCCACAGCCGATGCATTCCCTAGATGTCAGGTCTAAAAGAATATAGTTTTTGCCCAAGGAACATCACTGTACGAACCAGGAATCATCCGAGTTGACAATCTCAGTGCCTGTGATTTTGGTGAATCCTGAATCGGGCGAAGCAAGTTTTTTGGGCGTACGAAAACTGAAGATTTAGAAGAAAATGTAAATTAGGCCTTCGGAGTTTTCAAGATATAATATATAAGTAAATCCCAGGCCCTGAAGATGATCTCAATAAAGATCGAAACGTTGGCACGATAAAGAAAATGTTTTTCTGAAACCTACATCACACCAGACCGCATCTTACGATTTCTAAATAAATATAATATATCATTTGGTGTTAAATTTGGCTGTGAAAAAAAGTTTAAAGTATTAATTATTCATGAAGAAGAACTGGTTAATACATTTCAAGAGGACATAATTGCTATATTATCATCACAAAAATAAAAAATAATTTTTTTTAAATTTAGAGAAAGATTCTAGTTATAATAATAATTATTATTATTATTACAATAATTTTACTCTGATTTTAATTTATTTTTTAATTGATTACGGACACTAGGTACTGAAGGAGTTTTCCTGAGCACTGCAACTTTACTTAACTTTTGCACTCCTTCCTGGTTCCATTTTAGGAGCAGCATGTGTTTATTGAGCCAGCGGTGTGCTGGTGCTCTTCCATAGCAAAGACTAATTTTCGAAGGGGGTAGGAATCGAATTCAGGTTCCCTGAGATCCGAATTTCTTTGAGGCCACCGCGCCCCTTATTCGTCAGAAATTCCAGGGGCGGCGGGGTAAATCGAACCCACGGCCGCGGCATGTTCTGACTGAGGGTCTGACGCCTTAACCACCCGGCTACCCAGATCTCGTTTTAATCCTTGAATAGAATAATTTCTCAACTGCATGATAAATATAAAGACTAATGTACTTCTCAAAAGTCAATTTTATAAATGTACCGAGGACTCATATCAGAAGTCATTGTCAAATTTATCAGTTTGGACTGGACAAGGTTTATTTTAATAAAAACAAAAATTTGGCTAAATTTGAAATCAAAAGGAATGCTTGTCCACAGCTAATAATTTCACATAGTGTATTTAATTATTTGCAATAGCATTAGAGGGTTTTATTTGTAATAAAACAATTAAAACAAGAAAAGAAAAATTTCCAAGTGCATCCTCTCATGTGTATGTGTATTTTCCATAGCTCGTTGCTCCAGTACTTCAAACTTGCACGAAAGAGTAACTTAATCTATAATCAATCTCAATTACAATTTGA